ACTGACTGAGGTAAGAGTGCACTTCTGGAAGACAAGCCTGAATGTTTGGCCTCCAGAGACTAGGGCCACGGCTGTGTTCCTTCTTGATCCCCATCGCAGCCCCAAACCTACTGAGCCCGATGCTAGTTTACAAACTGACCCAATGGTTCTTGTCTCTAATCTCAGACCTCAAGAGACTGCTGCGAGTCTGAGGCCATCCCTAGACTGTAGGATAAGGACCCAACTCAAAGAAGTCTAGCTTATAGAATCTTCTACCTAGATCTCATGCGTAAGATGTTAAAACTGAAGAGAAGAACCTATACGATGATACATAGTCACTGGCAAAAAGTTCATAGCATCCTTGATCCTGCCCTGTTCGTGATTAAATGGCCTGAAGAAACCATTGGGGGCAAGCCAGGCCTGCAAACAGAAGCAACTAATTGGTAAGGAGCTCAAAACAGGAAAGGGACAGCTAATATCAGATTGCATAATCCCTCTCTCCCTCCCATCTTCTTTTCTGCCTAGGTCAGCATTTCAAAAAAAAAAAAAAAAAGGGGGGGGCTCTACCAATCCCCTGGAAAATGTTTTATAGCATTAGTTTATAGCATTTAGAAAATTCTTTCTTTTCTTCTTTCTTAGTTATTACCAAATCAAATGTCCTGATAAGTTCTGAAGCAGTATGGGTCCGCTTAACATTTCTCAAACATGCGCTCGTCATGAACACTCATACAGTAATCATTAATCGAAGGTGGCCTAAGGCTGGGTCCTAAACTATGTCCAAACTGTTGAGGTTTTAATTAATTAACTTATTAATTAATTAGTTTAGAGACAGGGTCTCACTATGTAGTCCTAGCTGGTCTGATCTCCATATGCCTCTGCCTCACAGAGCTGGGACTAAAGGCATCAGCCACCACACCCAGCTCAAACTTTCTAAACTTAAAAGTGTCGATGCCACTGGGCAGTGGTGGCGCACGCCTTTAATCCCAGCACTTGGGAGGCAGAGGCAGGCGGATTTCTGAGTTTGAGGCCAGCCTGGTCTACAGAGTGAGTTCCAGGACAGCCAGGACTACACAGAGAAACCCTGTCTCGAAAACAAACAAACAAACAAACAAACAAAAAAGTGTTAATGCCCGTGAGCAACTACAATCTCAAAGCTTCCAAGTGTCAAACTTTAAAAACAAAACAAAAACTTCCCACTTCCTGCTTCCCGTTCTCTCATCCCAGCTCCCTTCTCCCTCATTCAAACGCTCTGCATCCTGGGCTCACCCGAAGCCAGTTCAAAACGTGAGCGGCAGCCGAGCAGGAGACAGAGTCTTCTCTGGCTCCTCAGTCCCTCTTCAGGTCACACAGGAAGTCACAGAATGGCACATTCCACCCACCCCCTTGACTACTGTTCTATCTCTCTGTGTCCCCTCTCCTCCCCCCGTCTCTCTCTGTCCGTGTCTGTCTGTCTGTCTGTCTGTCTATCTCTTTCTCTCTCTCCAGACCCTAGCATCTCCCTTGTTCACATTGCTGCCCCACAGGGATTGAGATCTGTCATTTCCTTGAGATCTGCCATTTCCTTGAGATCTGTCATTTCCTTGACTTCAGACCTACATTTCCAGTAGGTCTAACCTTCTGTTCCTTATTCCCAAGGGCTACACATTCAATACACGCCAAACAAACTTACTCATTTCCTCACCAAACTTCTCTCCTCTTGACCCAATTCTTGCTAACAGTCAGATTCACTCACCATTAAGATGGAGGAGGTAGCCTGAGCATAACTGAGTTATCCACCATGGTAGGCTCTTCACCCACTCATCAACCAACAGCAACACAACACATTGAGGGGAAAAAAAGCTTTGTTTGAGAAGGATCTCACTGTGTTGTTGCCCTGAGTGGCCTTGAACTCAGAGATCAACTTGCCTCTGCCTCCTGAGTGGAGGATGCAAGATGTATTCCGTCACACCTAGTCAGTCCTAGATGAATCTTTCAAGGACTTAAACTAAAAATCTAAGATTGACTTTGACTCAAGACACCTTATGCAAATTCCAAGAGCATACCAAGTTTCTCCAGTCTTAGATTTTTCTCCTTCATCAGTTAAACACAACTCAAGTGTCTTCTAGCAGGCCATTAAGTCCTGGATTTCTTTGCCTCCCAGCTCCCCGCCCGCTGCACTCCTCCTAAAATGCTACTGCTTTTTTTTTTTTTTTTAGAAACAGGGTCTCACTATATAATTTTGGCTGTCCTGGAACTCTGTAGACCAGGCTGGCCTCAGACTCATACTACCTGCTTCTGCCTACCAAGTGCTAGGACTAAAGGTGCACACCATTAATTGTGTTACTCCTGGCTTCCAAATCCTCAAGTCTGACACTCCTCTCAGGGAGCCCTCACTGCTTTCTAGATGGGATCTCTGCTATCTTTCCATCCGCATGCCCTGCTACTCTCTGGATTCTAGTCCAAGGGTTGACAAACTACAGCCAGTTACGTCTTTTCTGGCTAGCATGTACATTTACATCTTATCTTTTTGTTTTACGGTGGTGTCAGGAATGGGACCCAGGGCCTTGTAGCATAATATCCTGACTGAGCCCCACCCCCAGCCCACTTATGCACTGTCTATGACTGATACTGTGCTATAATGGAAGAGTTGACTGGTTGTAACAGAGATCACGTAAGACTACGTGATCTTACAGACGTAAGGACAAGAAAGTTCACTACTTAGCTCTTTGCAGAAAAGTGCACTGGCCATGTGTGGTGTATGCCTATAATCCCAGCACGAGGGGAACAGGAGGATCAACACTGTGAAAGAGCCTGGGGTGCACATCAAGACTGTTTAAAACACAAAAAAACATATATGCATTAAGTCTGTTTTAAGGGGGATAGCTGGCTGCTTCCTGAAAGGAACCTCTGCTTTCTACCTCCCTTTCTGTTGACGTATTTCTCTCAGAAATCCTCATGCCCTGCTTTTTTCATAACTAAACACATTTTTAAGACCACCTTGAAGCCTTGCCTGACCACACAGCTCCCAAATACGGTGCTGGCACCCTTCGAGTCCACCACTTTGATCTTCACACTACAGCCATCAAATCACCATCACCTGCAGTGCCTTGTTCCACACACATTTGTGAGGCCAGCGCATGTCTGTAATCCTGGCACCGGAAAGGCAGGAGATCTGGAGTTCAAGGTCAACCTTAACCACACAGCAAGCTGGAAGCCAGCCTGGGATACATGAGACATCTCAGAAAGAACAGCAGCAGCAACAGTCAGCTGAAGGCAGGTGAACCCCCACGAGCTTACATACTGGGTTGAAACCAACAAGAAAGGTCAGTATGGAGACACTCCAAAGGGTTACAAGCCTGTCTACCCGCGCCAGCACACAACTTGACAGCTGTACCCACAATCCAGGGGTCTCTATCCAAACTCTGCGGACGTCTGGGGTAAGTATTTGTCCTGTATATTAGAAAATGTCTACCAGCATCTTTAGCCTCTACCTAGGGATTCCAGTTAGCACCTCCCATTGTGACAATCAAATGTCTCCTGAAGGGAGAATTGCCCTTGGCCGAGAACCACTCTTCTAGAGGTTTCCAAGCACAAGCCAACAGTGAGATGTTGATAATAAAACACAGATGACGGAGTCATTGTAGTTCAGTGTCCAGATGAAGAGAGAGATAAGAGCCACACGATTGGCCAGGCTGACTCACTCTTGGGAGATTATGCTCAACTTTGGATTTTAAAAGGACTTTGGAAAACTGGAATTCCTTCAGTTAAAGGCAGCCAAACTGAGGAGAGGCTGGGAGGAAATGCCATCAGAAAGACTTCTGAGTGTAGAAGACCAGCTTGTACCAAAAACCATGACGGGACTTTAAGTATGTGAGGTTGCCCCACAGAAGAATGGTTCTCAGGACACGACTGGGCCAGAGCAGTACACGAGGGTAGCCTTTAGTCCTGTGCGAGCAAACGCTTCTCAGCTATCAGAGCGGGACGACAAACGCACTGGACTGAGCCATAAAAGCCTGCACTCCTACCATTCTGGATGTGTTCAAGCACAGACCCAAGGACAGCATCAGCAAGGCTACAGAGATTGCTTTGGCCACTGGGAGGGAGGACATGATAATTCTTCCTAAGGTATTTACAGCTCTGAGGTATTTATTTACTTATCCATTTATTTGCGGTACTAAAGCTCAATCCCCCGTGTATGGTAGGCAAGGCATCCCACCCTTCACTAAAGCCTTACCGCTGAGATTCTAAGGTTAAAAAGGAAAAGACAAATGTCACGAGTAAGTCATTTGTACAAGCTGTATATAATTTCAAGCCTTCATTCCATCAAAAAATTAAGCCTATTTCTGCTTGGCGGAACCTGACATTAGTCCTCAGCACTGTAACTGCCAGTGAACTGGTTTTTTTCAAATTAACTTGCACTAGTTCCTGGATGATGTTTACCATTCACTATCTTTGAGCCATATCATTTATTTCATTCAAATGCAAAACTACAATCTTTACAGTTTCCAAGCTATCCTGAAAGGCATTACGTCATCCATAGTTCCTGAACAAGAATGTGACAACCTTTAGCTAACGTGATCTCATTTGTGGTTTCTTGCCTGAATTCTAAAAATTTCCCTTTACTAACCATTAAATACTCACTAAACTAACAAAACATATTCCTACAGGCATCTCCAAAACAAATCGCTTATAGCCAGTTCTAGTTATCACACACAAATGTAGTCACTTGGCTATCAGAGAAGCCACACTGTCATTTTCGCAGTAGAAACATGAATTCACTTTGGTGAAATTTCTACTTTATTTATGATTTAGAGAGGAAAATCTGAGATATTACAATGTAGTATTCCTCAATTACAATGTGGCCATACAATCCGAAAGTTCTAGAAAGCAGTCACAACAAAACAGGAAGCGGCTGTGTAGTTGACAGACTACGGAAGGCTCTAAACCCAGGAGCTCCTTCAACCCCCAGTTAAAACTGCCAGCGCGCTGTGGAAGGAGCTGCCCCAAAGCCACAGTGGGCCCTCATCCACGGTTTTACTTACTTCTTTCCGTTTTGTTTCTGGACATTCCGACTGCAGAGTAAGAGTTGCACCTTCAATGTTTCTTGGCATGGGCGTGGAACCAGGGTTTATAGTCAAATGAATCTGGTCTGGGGAGATGATGTGTTGTACGTAACCCTGGGACATTGCCTCCTGATCTATTAGGAAGCCCTCTTCACCTTCCACCAGAAAAGGCAAGTGTTCTCCACACTGTCCATCGTCTTCGTCATCCTCCAAAGTGCCAGGGTCCTGTTCTATAAGAACAGTGGTCCTATCATAAACAGTTCCAGATGAGGAAGGCACCAGTCCGTTGTCATCCACAAACCTGAGCATCTTGTCATGCGGGGTTAGGTCATCTTCCTCTCCCTTAAAGAAGATGATGTTGTCGTCTGGACTGTGTTCCCCCATGGTTCACTTCTGCTCAGCCCAATTGTGAGAAATGAAAAGGTAATGGCCTTTCTGCAACAGATAACACCAGAGTTAGAACCACAGCACAAGACCCACCTACGTCCTAAAGTGATCCTTAGGGATCATTTTCCCTCATTTTAGAAAGTAAACCAAAGTGCTAATCCCAGACCTTGGGAGGCAGAGGCAGGCAGACCTCTGTGAGTTCAAGGCCAGCAATGTCTACATATCAAGTGCCAGGCCAACCAAAGTTAGTGGTAAGACCCTGTTCCAAAACAAAAAGACAGAGAACATCCAGGCCTAGAGATGGGGATGAGTGCCTTTAACCCCAGCACCTGAGAGGTAGAGTAAGCTGGATCTCACCGAGTTCCAGTTGAACCAGAGATATACAGTGAAACTCACACACACATACACACATACACACACGGGGAGGGGGGAGGGGGGCAAACCAAAGCAAAAATAAATAAATCATCTTCCTTGGGAATACTTAAAATCTGACACAATCAGTCACTGTTAAGGAAAAAAGCAAATCCTCCCCCCAAAAATTCCAAGTTAGCATTTACAAGACCTTCTGCATGTGATTTACTGTCACATACTTTAAAGATGGGTCCATGCAGCCAATGAAGATAAAGGAGCAAACAGGTGACTGCTTAAAGCAAGAGTCGCTATAAACCTTAAGTGTGGCACTCCCATCCGAATGCCCCCCTCCCAATCACACTGTGAGGCAGTACACAGTCTCAAGTATTTGGTGGTGCAGAAACAACACTCTGAACATAATCACCTACAAATCCTACTTTTGCTCTTTACTGCTTGGGCAATCTATTTATGCCTGTCTTTCTACAGTGGGACCAGTGGTTCCTGTTTCATACAGAAAGAGAAACTGCAGGTAAAGTACAATCCTGTCAAACAGTAGAAAGAGGGTGGCTTCCTTCTGTCGTTTCTAGAACACATGGGGTGGAGGGGATAAACCCTAATAAGGAAAAGCCAATGCAAATCACTTTAATTATTTATATCCTAAAACATGATATGGACCAGAGAGTATGCTTGTTCAGAGAGACTAGGCTTTCTGGTCCGAAAGGCAGTCCCTAACATAAGCAATACTGACACGAGGAGCTAAGGAAATATCAGCAAAATGAATGACAGACATGCAGATAGTCTCTTTTTGAAGGCAGTCTCTTGAGGAAATTACCAAATTTGAAGCTTTCATGGTCTGGAATGGGGATTCCTCCTTCACCCGAAAACACACAGGTTCTACACACAGGGTTCTATGTGGGTTTGGCAGACACAAAAGGAGCATTTAAAATAACCAGAACATCACTTAGTTATCAACCTGGTTCTGCACTTTCTCTTTTGCTCCGAGTCAGCAAGTGAGCCTTTACTAGCCAGAGTGACAAGAAAGCGAGGTAGTTACCAGACACAGGTCAAGGGATCTAATCTGAGAGGAACCAGCCCGAACCTTGCTTACGCAACCCCAGAAACACACGTTTCTCTGTATCTGAGAGGAGAGATAAGAGTCTCCGGTGGGCTGCCCCGGCACCTTCGGCGGTAACGCAGAGACCAACTTTCCGTAACAAGACCAGGAGGTGTGAGGGTGGCCGAGGACTGCAAACCGAGCACCCCTGAGAGACTGGCAGGAGGACCCTGACCGGGAAAGCACCCGTAGTCCAGGGCTACATAGAAAAACCCCGAGGCAGTCTGGGGGCTACGAGCTGGGCGAAGAGGGGCAGGGTCCGGGTCTCCATGGAAACAGAGAAGGGGGGCTGGATACCCATCCCCATGGAAACGGAGGAGGGGTGGGGTCCCACGGGTGAGTAGAATGAAGTCTCAACCGGGAATGGCTTCGGCAGGGAGCCCAAGTCCCGCACCCCCCGGGTAGTTCCAGCCCCAGCAGAGTCCTTCTTCTGCTTTTACCTCCGCGGCTCCCGGCAACGGCGGCAGCGGCAGCTTCTCCCCTCCCCAGCGGCACCATGATTGCCCCCACCTGTCCCTAGCGTCACTTCCGCTTCCGCTTTCCGGAGGAAGGAGAGGCCGGCGGATCCCTGCGCCCGCTACTGCTCGTGATTGGCTTCGGCTCTCCAGGGCTGAGACCGCGCCTCTAACCAGCAGGCTGTGGGCGGAGCGAGCAGAGTCTGGCGCTCCCGTGCCGCACGGGGAAGCTGACCGTAGGGAGCAGGCTGTCTCAGGCGCGGGAGAATACGCGACATCAGCTGTGAAATCGAGGTGTTCTCAGCTCCAGCTGCGTCCACAGCTGCAGCAGGAAGAATGCAGTCAGCTGCCACCTTCCAGATGCGTAGGGCAGCCCGCGGCATCCCTCTTCTCGCCTCACTGTACGCATAGAGGCCCCCGGGGCCCGAACGCTGAGCAGAGCGCTCCAGACGCTTCCCGTTCTCACGCTCCGGCCGGAGCTAGCGGTTCCAACCTTAGGAGGGTTTTTGCTCCAGGGAGGGTCAGCGCCACCTACTGGCCAGTCCCCTGTCAGCTCTTAACACTCATCCTACCGACCCTCGCAACCACTAGCTGGTAGCAATATTTCAAAGCCCAAGAAAAGATTTTTTTCTCCTTGTGCTTCTACTATATTCTTGTAAACGTAATTATTAGACCCTCACATAAGCTACTGCTTATTTACCCCATGAACGACTTCTCTAGAACGTTTAAGTTGGAGCAGTGCCCTTATAGGCTAGATCAGGGTTCAGGCCCAAACTGTGCCATTACCTGAGTAAGGTTGAGTAAGTGACTCTCACGCACCAGAATGCCACATGTCCCGTTGGTCCCAGACCAGCTACTCTGCTCTTAAGCCACAAAGAACTAGCTGCCAGGAACTACCATCTTTTGAGAGACGGGAATGGGGGAAGAGAAGACCAATGGTTAAGACCACCTAACTGCTCTGACCTGAGAGTTCTTTCGAAACCAGAACCCACATTGGGTGGCTCACAACTGCCTGTAATTCCAGCTTCACAGGGATCTGAGCCTCTGGCCTCTCCTAGCACATTCACACATGCATGTAACACCACTACCACCGCCACACATACACATAACTAAAAAAAGAAAAGAAACATAGTCACCACTGTTAAAAATACATTTATCATCAAAATATATTACATATATGAGAGGTGATGCACTATATACAGTTAGGAGGACTGGATAGCCTACAAAATCCCACTTGTTTCACCAGAACCTCCTTTCTTCAGTGCTTTTAGGGGCGACTGAGAGGGCTTGGAATTGAGTAGAAAGGGGACAGTTGCCCTATGCATGTACATGTCCTCAGCTTGGACAGTGGAACCATCTGGGATGGCTAAAAGTTGTTTATCCAGGAACATCTAAGCAGAGTCCTGCTGTCCAACCCATTATCCTTCAGGGACCAAGTATCTGACCATGAGCTGCTCAACACGGGACATGGGAAACGGGCTGAATGCATGACCTGGAGGCAGGTTGAATAAGGCAAAGTACAGTTACTTAAAACTTTTTAAAAAAAAATGAGCAGAGATATATTTGTGTTAAATAACTAAAGTTGAACACGGAACGTCAGTTCTATTAGGGTGGATTTCCCCCATGTCTTCACAAGTCAGCATGAGTATGCTAGCCAACAGCATGGGCAAGGGGCAGGTCTAGGCTCAAGAAACAGGTAGCTGCCGTTCTTCCAGCTGGCCTCAGACCATCTTAAGGCAGTTCTTGAGCTGAAACAGGTGGAGCTGACAATTGTGGCTAGCTTGAGGAAAACAGGAGAAGAGTATTGAGGCTCAGAGCGGACCACAGAGGAACTGGTGAATAAACTCTTGGGCTTTCTTCTTCTCCGCCATGTCAAGCTTTTGGTGAGGAGCTGGATTTCGGAGCAGTAAGCTGCCAAATATACTAGCTGTGCATGGGAGAAACAGAAAATACCATTTAGTAACTAGGACACTAGGTTGGCTAGGAGAGGGAACAGACTACCTCAAGAACTCTTTTTCTTTTGAAAGGCAGGACCTGGCTGCCTCAAACTCAGGAGCCCCACCTGTCGCTTCCTCCTGAGACCTGGGATTAAAGGCATGCACCACTACGTCTAGGTATTTTCTTCTTGAAAACACAAACAGCTGGGTGTGGTGGCACATGTCTATATTCCTACCAACTCTTCAGTTCCAGGCCAGGCAGAGCTATACAGTGAGAGGCTGCCTCAGAAATAAAGAGGGGATGGGGAGCCGGCTCATGGAGTTAAGTGCTTGCTATGCAAACATGATGGAAGACCTGAGTGCAGATCTCTAGCACCCACTTAAATGCCAGCACACTGGCATATACCTGTAATCCCAGTGAAGTGGAGGGAGAGAGAGGTGGCTCCTGGGGCCTTGCCAACCAGCTAGTTTAGCCAAAACAAGGAACTAACACATGGGCCTTGCACATGGTAGATAAGTCTTCTACTACTAAGTCATACTTCGAGCCCCCAAACAAATTATTTGCATATAAACTTTGCCCAAAATAAGGGATGGTGGTACATATGCAGCACTCAGGATGCCAAGACCAGAGGATCCTGAGTCCAAGGCCAGGAGAGTGAGTTTGAGGCCAGCTTCAGCAATATAACTTGACTGCCTTTTAAAAGTTAAAAACAAAACAAAACAAACAAACAAAAACAACTTCCTCGGAGATTGGGGGGCGGGGGGGGGGGGGGGAAGCAAGACAGGACCGAAGGGAAGGTGAGTATTAATTCAGCTTCCTTTCTCCGTGATTCTGTACAGATGTTTGTCTGACAGTCACTTACCTAAAATATTCTCATCCAAATGATTTTTTGCTGAATTTTTCAGCAATTCTTGCAAAAACGCCATCAAGTAGTTGAAGACATTTTGGTGGAAAGTGGGGAGAGTAGAAATGACCTGGAAGAGGGAGAAGGTGGGGTTTGTGGCTTCACTCACTTGACAAGGTCCCCGTTGTATTCGAGGAACTGAGAACGTCTTATGAATGTGAGTGAGAATGCACACAGAGCCGATCACTCACCACTCGGCATAAGTATCCAAAGGGAACAAGGGTCAAATGCTATACGAATTTACAAGTCACACTTCTAAAACTAAAAACTCAGACTTAAGAGAATGAAGACGTTCTAGCTGGGTCTTGAATATAAGACTTGTAGCATCGAGGATTAGGGTGTTAGAGGCAAAGAAGGCAAGAGAAAGCAAAATGTTAAGTAGGAAGAGCACGAGCTGCCAAAGTTGGCAGGAATCTACAGCTACACAGACATTAGGCTTGGGAGGGTTATCCAGGCCAGAATCCAACGAATTGCCCATATCTGCACGACAGAATCATCTGGGAGCTGGAGCTGGGAGAAGGTAGGTTCCCAGATATTCAGTTGAAATGGCTATAAGTGAAGGCACTGGAACTGTACTGCTGGCAACTACTCTACATGAGCCTGTCAATCATGGAGCTGGGTGTGGTGATGAACACTGGTGATCCCAGGACTTGGGAGGCTGAGGCAGGAGGATGGTGAATTGGATCAATCTAGGCCATACTGAGTTTCAGGTCAGGATGAGTCACTGGGAGAGACCTAGTCTTAGAGGAAAAGAGAGAGAGGGAGAGAGAGAGGGGGAGGAAGGGAGGGAAGAAGGGAGGGAAGAAAGGGAAAGAGGAAGAGAGGGAAGGAAGGAGGGAGGGAGGAAGGAAGGAAAGAAGGGAAAGAAAAGTCATTAAGCAGCAGTGAGAAAGAGGTAAGTATGGTTTTGTCCCACAGGATGACACCTCTAAATTCACAATCTAACTGTAGTATGGAAAATGGATGGAGAGGGAGCAAGAGCACAGGGCACTGCCCCAAGTAAGCAGAGCAATGATGGGAGAGAACAGAGAAGTAATGGATCAGTGGGACTGGGCACGTGGGAGGTGAGGAGAGGGAGGAATCAGAAATGACTCAAGTTTCAGGGTTGAGTCACTGGAACTAAGGGTGATGCTATTAAAAGCAGCAGGCACATGAGAGGAAGAGCAGGTTTGAGAAGGAATGATGCTCATCTTCCAAGTCACTGCATGAGAGAGGCTGTCACACTGTTCTGCCAGGCTTCATGTGCCCAGGACGAGCTCGTGTGCACTCGGAAACTGAGCGCTTCCCCTCACCTGTTTGCTTGCTGGGTAATTGCCAGAACACTCCAGGCAACTATGGTAGGCACTGTAACAGATGACAGGCTCTGGCAGGCTCTCTAGGAAAAGCAGCAAGGCTTCGGCCACAGAATGGTTGTTAGCGCCTTTGGCCCCATGTTAAGGAACAGGTGACATTGTTGCCTAGGGTAGGAGGCGGCCCAGGGGCAAGCATGTGCCAGAAGTGATGCCTACTCAGTCAGGCTCTACTCAGAGCTAGGATGCCAGCCCACATCTCAAAGGGACTATGCTGTTGGTCACGTGACCCTGGCTCTCCTGAGCTCCTGCTACACTAACTGTTTACAGATGTAATGTCTTCTCTGGACAGGTGCTGAATGAGTAGAACCTGTTAGCTGAGGTTACAATAATAGACCCTGGGCTTTGAGATATTCTTCTCTCTTTTAAAAATTCTCATATTCCCACATGCACATACACATTTCTGAAGGATACAGAGGTGATCAATCATTCCAGTATCTAAACAGTCCCTTATGTGCTCAAACTCTGGCCTCAGGCCTGGCTGCTGAAACAGATCTTCCTACAAAGGGGAGAAAGACACAAAACAATAATTTTCTCAGAAAACCGAGAAACCCATATGTCACCCATATCATCTGAGTACAGAATGCAGCTGTGTAGTAAGACAATGTCACTGAGGCTGTGGTTACCATAGGCCATTAGGCATGTGTTATACGGCTACAGGTAGGCCACACTACACAGGACAAGATCCAGAATAAGAGAAAACTCATGCAGAGCTGTGTCCTGAGGTGTTATACATGCCGTGGATAAGATGGAAAAGCTACTTTGATCCTCAGCCAAAATAAACAACAACAAAATGAGATTCGGAAAGCTAAAAAGAACTCTCAGCCAGGCAGTGGTGGCTCACACCTTTAATCCCAGCACTTGGGAGGC